GCAGAAACGAGACGATGGAAGACAGCTAAGCCAGCAGGAGGAGTACACGGGCGGCTTCAAAGAAGCAAACAGGAGAGGGAGAGAGAGAGAGAGAGGAGGGGTCTTCGCTCTTCTTCTTCGTCCTTGATTGGGACGGAGAGGGAGAGAGGGGTGAGGGTTCCGAGGTCTTACCTTCTCGCGCGGGTCGCATCACAGCTCACCCCGAAAAGGATCGGATTCTGCGCCCTCGTGAACCCGAATCTTTGCAGCCTTTTGCAGCAGGTAAAAGGATGTGTCTCATACGTGCGCGTCCTCCGGCGACTTCCCCGCCCCACCCCCCAATTATTTGGGTTCTAAGGAGACGCTCCGCACGTGCTGACAATTGCCATGTTTTGCGCCTAATATTGCATGCCAATAATAACTAAACAATTCCTCAATTATTTCTCATTAAATTTTGTTTAATTACAAACTATCCTTTTCTAAATAAAAATATACTTTCAAAAAATCCTTTCATGTTAATTGCCATCTAATCTATCCCATATAAAATTCTATTAGCTCACATGAATAATATTTAAAGAATAAAAATTTTATTTATCATTTTATAAGTTCTGAACGATCGCATTATAAGTTGTTCTTTTCCTATTTTTTGTATTGGTATATTAATGTAAATTTTTATATTTGAAGGTTACAGTGCCATTTTGCTTTTGATATATATCTTCCGATATCTATGTTGGTAAGACAACATTAGGGTTATAAAAATAAGGTACGATATTAAATTCTTATATCGACGAGGTGACGAAAGGAGAGCTTGACATTGTCTCTTAAGGAGGATGGCTATATTAATTGCATCAATATATATGTCTCCCTCCTACTTCATAGATTGAGATCATCATATACAGCAACTACCTTTGACCTAATGGATTTATCATTGTCTTATTAGGTGTATGCTTTGTCGCATTGCAGACATAATCTTGTTTTGAGATATGATTCGATTGGTTTAAGCATTTTATGCAATAAAAGAAAACTAGCATTAGAACTTTCTATTAGTTATCAAACAATTTTTGATTGGGTGATTACTAATGAGTGGATTAAGCTTTTATGTTCTTCTCCTTGTCTTCGTTTTTATTTTTTCCATAGAAGAGAGTGTTAAAGATCACATCGAATACAATAATCTTGCAATTAATTGGTCAAAACACACTCCAAAAATATCACTTTCCCTATACTATCTATGCGTAGATCCTTTGACACTAGACACAAGGAAGGAAACATGGGCATGTGGTCCTCTGGTTGACTCAATGTACACAAGCCAAATTTGCATCTTCTGATCATGATGATTATAATATTGATCTGAAAACATGTGAAGTGAGAGAGTTGGATCCATTTGGATGGATCTACATGGATGTCCACCACCCAAGAAAACAAAGAAAAGAGTGAAGCCTTCTCTCTGGTTCTCATTCAACCATGGCAGCAAGCACCGAAGAGAAGCCTCCATTTGTTTATAGCATGAACCATTGTTCTTATCTGAATGCTGCTTGCACTAAAAGCTACCTCTATTTGTTGACCCTGATGTTTGGGCTTTGTCCCCATTGTGTGCATCTGTTTGCTTGCACCTTTGTCAGCTATTCATAATTAGATTTTGTCAGCGTGCATTGCCTTCCATGATCAATAATATATGATGCTCTTTCCATCTATTCACAAGTTGCAGGTGGAATATGCTGAGGGAAGGTTGGAGAAACCATGGGCTGATTAGTCCAGAAACCTAAACTAAATCATAGATGATAAATCCATGTTTAACCTTTGGTCTGTCATAAAACACACTGATTCATGTTCTTAAATTATCATGACAGCAAGGGAAGAAGATAAGATGTGTTCTTTCCCTTCAAAGCATATGGAGGAGATTCTGATATATTTATGATGTCATTGCGACTGTGATCGAGAGAATTCAGACAAGCATGATTCGATCTGTTCTTCCTGCAACTTGCACTCTTAATCAGATTGTTTTTTCAGGTGGTGGTGGTGGTGGTGTGTAAAATACAGCAGTGTGTGATGGATATACAAGCTTTCCAACCTTCCTTATCTTCACTAGTTCACAGCTACATCTTCTCCAAGGTAGCTTTCTTTCCCAAACCAGAGTTAAGATCGAACGATGGATGAGAAGCAAGCAACTCAGCCTCTCACAGTCGTAGGCTCCACAAAACCTGGTATAAGAAAGAAGAGATGGAATGGGGTCTTCATATGGAAGCATTCAAGAGCAACTTGGAAGCTTGCACCAACTTTCAAAGGCTTTGGCACCACCCAAATGAGTCTACTTCTCCTATTCTATTACATGATATGAACCAGAAATATTCATGATAGATTGAGGCTAAACACAGTGGTGGATGGTGTTCATAGCAACCCTGTGATGCCGTGGGCTGATGGGCATCACTGATATAAGCAATTCGAGCCCAACATCTTATGATGAACTATTAAGATCTTTATTGATATTTATAATTTTTTGATAATATTTATTGCAAAATCATTTGTGTTCGGTTTCTCATTTTTATATCAGAATTAGGTTTCTCCATGTAGTTCTCCATAGATGAGATTATTGCACATTCTGAAGCAAGACGAAGGAAAATATCTAAATCAACACGAGAAGTAGTACTATATCCGTTATTGAGGAAGATATCAGTAGCTACAGCTCGATCAACTTCTTAGAGGACCAAAGGCAAACTAAGAGACAACACCTAAGACTAACCAGCACAAGTTTCATGGAAGTGGGGAAGCAAGCGAAAGAGCCTCCAACACCTACTACGATCACAGCGTCTAAGATTTGTACCTCTCCAACAGCAAGACGATGAAGCGCATGACATGGACGACAAGAAATAGCATGGACATGACGATGAGAAACGCACCAACTTTCCTCCACCTGGAGGTGATCACCTTCAAGAACGCAACCTTGCATGATTGGCAGTCGTAGCAAAGCACGTTGGGTTGATTGTTCCAAGCACGGCAGTCATTGAAAGAGGCAAATGATGCGGTTGGATTTGTCAGTGGTGTGCTCTCCCTCGTGCGGTTCCTTCCCACTCTCCAGTTGGTGGCGTTCACGTACTCCATTCCGCACACAGCCGATGGCTTGCAGCATCCCGACTTTTCAGCCAGCAAGAACCGATGAACATGAGTTGGAATAATTGTGCGATCCAAGATACACGAGATTGAAAGATTACCTCGATGGTGGATAATTTCATCATGTTGAAATCGTTCGAAGTCATTTGGATGGTTCGATATGTCAGGTCTTGGCAGATCATGTCGTCGTAGAGGCAGGTCTTGACGTCGTTCCAGGTGTCAACGTCGAGAAGTCGGTTGCGGAGCCACAGCGGCGTCTCGGGCAGGCCTCGGGCCTCCATCTTGTACAAGCCGACGAGGGACAGCCCCGCGGTGAGCATCATGACGAGCACCACCGAGAGCACCATGTGGCCGGGCATCAGCACCTTGGCGCCATAGTACACCACGAAGTTGCTGATGAGCAGGATGAGCAGCAGGCCGACGCCGACGGCGACGCGCACGTTGGGCGCACGCAGGAGGTCCTCGCAGTCGTAGTCGTGGGTGCTGACGAGCCAGATGCCGAAGGCGAGCAGCGGGAGGGTGAGGAGGTAGGCGACGATGGCGAGGGGCCCGAGAGCTCTCTTCATGCCGCTCGAGGGAGGAGGAGGAGGAGGAGGAGGAGGAGGAGGAGGCGGCAGGGGAGGAGGCGGAGCAGGGGGTGGTGGATCAGGGAGCGACTTGGGAGCTGCAGGCGGAGGAGGGGCGTCGCTGGGAGCCTCGGAGGCCATGAAGTAGTAGGAGAAGGAGAGAGGAGTGCAAGTCGAGAGGAGGAAGACAAAGTGGGATATAAGTAGGTGGAGATGGATTCAGTGCTGGAGTTGGTTACCTAATATTCTTCCTGAGATCTCTAAGGATTTCTAACAAACAGGGAGGAGTCGAGTGTTTCTTGTGTGTTCTCTTGTAGATTTCACGTACGTCGCAGCATGCATGCGCAGTCCGCTAACTCTCTCTCCCTCGATCGAGCAGAAACGGTCTCCGTGAAGCCGTCGCTCATTCAAATTGGACGGCCCAGATCTTGACCTCCCTCAGTTTCCAGACCTCTCTCTCTCTCTCTCTCCCCATATGAAGACAACGAGTGCGAAAGAACCTGTGAGGACGAAGACAACGTGTGCGAAACAAATATTATGCTTACAACACAAAATGATAATATCATTTTATTAAGCATAAGATTTTTTTTTTAATTAAGCATATATATATATGCATATAAGATAAATTAAGCATATAATTTTGATATTTATAGTCAAAAAATACGAGCAGTCGAATAATTATTCAAAAAGAAACATAGAAACAAATTGGTTTAAGGGACTAAAATGGGTTCTTTGTGAGATCAATGAAATAAAGAACCATCTATATTTTCTTACTTATCTGAGAACAAGGAAAGATCGATCGTCACCACCCGAATTGGATTGCTTCCAATAAGCTGTTGAAGAACATGCACACCATTCGACTTGGGAACCATCGTTGAACATGGTCAAAATTAGAGAACCTCCAAGAATTTGCTCAGACCATTAAAATCATGGTTTCATCTATAATGAGATGCAGACAGCCATACAAGGATTGAAATGACATTTTGAATGCAACAAGAGCTAAGATGCCCAACTCAGTTAAAAGGTGGTAGAAAGTACACCATGGCAGCATACCCTTCTTCAGTAACTTCACAAATTTCACAAAATAAGAAACCAAAAGCTGGATTAGAGCAAGGATCAACAAGGAGAAACTTGAGCACCTCAGGAACCATATCTATCACCTTATCAGTAACACATACTGCCTTCTCAAATTTAAGACAACAGCAAGCAAGGAAATATGAAACCCATATGCTGCATTGCCAGGTTAATATTTTGTTACAGTATTCTAATAATGATTTCTTTTTTTCAATACAGCTGCGGGATTGAAGATTCATGGAAAATAAAGGATGCATAGCAGTGAAGGAAAAAATCATATCACAGAATGGCTACACTGTTTTTTGAGACAAATGATAATGCTTACATTTAACTGTTATTTTCAGCACTGGTGCAGTTCATGTTGTCTGCCTCGGGAACAACTGAAAACACTGTTGGAAATAAAAACTTCTTTCTGTGATGTTAAAGAAAGCAATACTTGAAATAATTAGAAAGACCATTCTGGCCCCTCCTATTAAAATCAAATAATAATTTGGATGGTCCTCCATCAGCCTATTTCATCGGAGTGTGCAATCATCATTTTCTTTTGGATGTGTTTCTTGCTGCAAAGTTTCTTTACAGCAGGTACCGAGTGGCACAGAAGATTGATAAACATTCAATGGATCTATTTCAATTTGTGTTTTTTAATTGTTCCTCTTCAGATAGAACTTTCCGTGGTATTTTCTTCTTTTGCTGATACTTGGCATATGAATACCACACACCACCAGCTGTATTGATGACCAACCCAGTCACGTTCAAAGCATGTACTTGCACACCACCCAACAGGACGAAACCAAGGGTCTGGAAGGAGATATACAGAGAGTAAACCTCAAACAAGTGTAGTATTTACTCATCCAGAAATAGAAGATAAGATATTGAGAAAGTATACTTACTGTGGACCCAACACCCTTAAGAACTCCAACGATTGTAGTTGTTAGAGCAGAGTTAACAATAGTGCACAAGAACATTGTGTAGTTCAAGACAATGCCCATTATCAATGATATGACAAGAATCACTAAGAATGCGAAAGAATATGCCTGTCATGTTAAAATTGCATCAGTTTCCCAACACGTAAAGAATGAAAGCAAACATGAATAATGATTATTTGATAAAATACTGGATTATAAAAGAGCCACATATATCACCGATATTTAATTCAGGACATTTGATTTTGAAGAACTGTCTGAAAAGTCATTTGGCTAAGTAAAAAACTCATAAATGATCCATGGTTCTATAATTACGTCACAAACTGATATTTGTTTGAAGTGTTCAATGCAAGGTTTTTATATTACTTTAGAAGCCAGATATTTTAGATGCCAATGAGGGACCTGGTAGGATCAATGTACGCATCCTAACTAGCAATGCAAAGGTTGTTTACGTGAATCTAACTGTGGATACCAAAGTTGTAAAAGAGTACTCTGACATTGGTGCCAAACTTCAGCTATAAAAGGAGCAATTATGTCACTAAAGGATTGAAAAATCTTATTGTAAAGTCTACCCATGTCCTGATAAGTCTCTCTTAAATTTATCTACTATATCCCATGATTATCAATCAATTTATGAAATAGTCTGTAAAAGTATCTTTTTCTTTTTCTTATGATAGCTCATAGTGGCATTTTATAAGTTGTAGTGCACTTTTAGACACCTGTTGCATTTAAAACTATATATTGCATCGAATTCTACACAGCACTACCAATGTGAATATTTCCTATGAGGTCTACACAGATCACAAAATTGGATCATGCATTTTATTTTTGTTCTAATTTTATGCACCAGATATCAATTTTTTCAATATTTTACCATTATGAGTTATTATTATATCCATTATGCTCTAGGAGCATCTACATCATTTCAGCATATAAAATAGATCATCTTGTGTGCATTATTAATTTAACTTTGGTTGCATCTTAGATTAAGTTCATTTATTTTGTACAAACTTTACCATGTCATGCACTTTAATTTGTTCTAGTTTTACTCACCAATTATTAATTTTTCAGTTTTTATCCGATTGGTTATTAACTTATTATTATATACATCATGCTCATTAAACATCAGTCTATAAATTCATGACTTCGTGTGTATTATTCATAAGTTAAGGCTTACCTTCTATTTTAGTGTTATGAACACAATATGCATATTCTGGCAATGCAGTGAAGCATAGTCTACGCATAAAGTCACCATATGCAGATAAAAGTTGATTAGTAAAAGCAACACATGCATAAGTATAACTTACAAAATCCCAACAGATAAATATTGTTGCATGTCAAAAACAATAGGGGAAAGCAACATAAGCAAAAGTATAATTTACAAAAACCCTAATAAGTAGGGTGCTGATCCTGACCTTTCCGGACAAAACTGCAACAGAGTGTGGAAATTCTCCTGTTGCTATGATGAGAAACAACAGAAAAGGTAGGGACAGCAAGGAATTATAGAACATTATCTCGACTGAAGAAAGTCCATCCTCGGCACCAGATTTCTCCACAAGCACTAGATACATAGTCTACAATTATAACTAGATGTTAATTTCACAAAACTGGGGCAAAAAGCTAGGACAGCTAAAAACAAGTATGTGACATAAGCAATAGTTTCAAGTGAACTCATATGATTAAACTTTCCCAAATATGGTAAGGAGAACATGGAATATGTTTGTTTACCTGGAAGAAAACGGAGGTAAGTGCCATGGTGTATCCATGGAGATCAAACGAGAAATCTCCAAGTGCCGCAATGACCACTCCTATGGCTGTAAATATGACAGAAAGTGATACCTGAAAATTGCTTAAAAACATCAATAGTAAGAAACTTAAGTAATACTGAATTGCTAATTTGCAGAAGAGTTCCATGTTCTGCAAACAGACAATTATATTGAACTCAATGAAATTAATTTGAAACAGTCTGAATACATTATTTTTCTTCAGAAACAATGGTATTTATCACTATCTTTCTGTAAATATAACTCTAGCGTTCCTTCAACTGAAACAGAAACATGAAAGCATGCTTGTGGTAAAAAGTAGAATGGGATTTTTGGATTAAAGAACATAAAAAAGCACTTCTCAGGAAGAAGCAGAAAGAAAGAGATTGATATTAAGAAAAAAGGTAACTATTTTGTGTCAAAAGATCCTCCCTCTTCATCATTTATTTACAATTAAATCGATGCCTTCACTCCCTGACCAGTCACCAATTTGAAATATAGGATCACTATCACACAGTTCCATATTCAAATTTGTCTCCTTTTGCAAGAGAGGGAGAGAGACACACGGAGGGGGGAGAGAGAGAGAGAGAGTAGTGTGTATTTAAGCAAATGACTTATAGCACAACAAAATGTGAAAACAGAGAGACACAAAGAAAGACCCATTTTATCATCTTTCATTGAAAAAGATAATATATAAAAAAACTCGGAAGAAAACATTTGAAAGAAGGCGATCTAAAAAGAATGAAAAAACGAACAAAGAAGCTCTGGAACCAAGACAAACTACCAGGTAATGTATTAAAGTAAAATAATATATGCACAGATATTTTGAGATATTCATCATAATGAATGTGCGGCTGATCCCCGGTAACTTATTAGTTTAACTATTATTTGACTATTATATAGTTCACATCCTGTACCTTGGGTATTAAATTTCTCAATCAATAAATTAATTTCAACCAAATCAATTCCAGAGAAGTTGGATTACCTGATCACAATGATAAGCTTTAGATTCAAGTCAAAATACTCTTTAACTTAGACTAGTCAGTTATTAAAGTTTGATTCAATAATAAGCAAGCATAAACTAGAGCCAACGAAATAAGCAAGGCATACACCAAGTTACGAAAGAGATTCTACCACTAAGCCTGAACGAGACAAACCCATAGTAGGGAATACCAGCATAATTCATCATGACTAAAATTTGCTAGATATGCACTATGATTGTTGCCCAAATTAAGAGAAACATACATCATAGAATAATAGTAACAAAAAGACATCCAACTTAACCTCCAAGGGCAATCAATCATAGACTTGTTACCTGAGTTGAGGGCCTACTCTTTCCTCTGAAAAATCCAAACACCAATACTGCAAGTGGTGTGAGCCTCTTCAATGCAATGTACATTGGAATATTGACTCCCTTCAAGCTTGCCAAAGCAAATGCCACATTTGCATTGTAGAACACTGACACTGGAAGAAGTTTCTTAGCTGTTGGCATGTTCACTGCTTTGGCTTTTGTATACCCCATAACTTTGCCAAAGTGTATGAGAAGGGTTGTAGCCAATTGCTAATACAGTGTATAAATAAATATAAGCAAGAGAAAACACCAGAGCCTTACCGCAATAAAAATATAACATATGCTCAAGATCTATAACATACCTGTAAAGTAAGAAGAGTCATAGAGTATGCATACTGCATTAAAACTGCCTTATTGATGAAAACCATAGCCATGGATGCTATTCCATAGGAAAAGGCAGCAAACAAGCTGCAGCGTAAATAGCAAAATAAGAAAGAAAGCTATAAGGAATTACATCACATTCATCTATTATTAGCAGTTATGCTAAAATATTAAAGAAAGATGTAAATCCAAGAGGAGCGGGACAGTATGTGCTCAGGTTAAGTACATCGACTTTACATAGAAATACTCTCTCAACCAAACTTATCCCTTAGTGTGATGCTAGATTCTGGGTTGCTGATTAAGAAACTTCACTCATTAAAGCTTCTTCAGGCCATAATAACAATCAACAGGTAGTTTTCGCGTCTCACATATTTGCAGCAGTTAGTCTATATCTCATAACCAGGTGCGCAAAATAACACCTTTAGGAACGTAATAAAGCTCGCTTTACATCTTTCTCGCGTTTGCAATAAGTTCGGTACGATGGACACATTTATTAGCATTACCATGCTAAACGTTGCACTAAATTTAATTCGTTGCCCAACCGACACAAAGCCACCAGCTTGGCGTAATTCATGACACAGAGGTGCAATTTTCTGTTCCTAATCGTCACCGAGCCTTTAATCTATGCTAATTCACTCATAAAAACAGAAAATCCATTTCCTTTGTGTTTCCCGGACCGTAGTGTCCCAGATCTCGCTTAAATTCTTCAACTATGCGGTATAAGAATCAAAATAAGAGGTGAGTCAGATTACCTCAAGAAGGGAGTGGGTTCCAGGTCAACCCTGCCTTCCATGGCGATCCCAATTGAGGAGACCTTGAAGAGTGAAACACGAGATCGTTGATTGCGCCCTTGGTTGTGCACGGTTAGGGTTAGGGCTGGAAAAGGGGAATAAGAGGAGGGGAGAAGCCAGTCGGTGAAGAAGAGGAGGAGCGGAGGCGAACAGGGAGGAAACAAATGGCGTGGTTTCTGGATCCACCCGTCGCTTCCACGATGCGAACCCATAAATAGGCCCTTTTACATATCCATCCTTCGAGTTAAATGAAATAACCTATTTACCCCTAATAATATCAATATTCCACATACATCCCTCATGTGCTTCTCTGGATAATACTTGATTATATATATATATATATATATATATATATATATATCGACTGTAATATGCATCGATGTGCTTCGATTTTACAGGATACATGTTAAATTCAATTTTATTTCCCCAACTCAGGAGGGACATATGCGTAATTTTATCAGAATAAAGGTATAATAATTCAGGGACTTGTTTGACGGCGGCGGTGCAGTAAGATCTTATTCCTGGGTCCCTATTTCGTTGCCGGAAATCTCCGGCGTTACCCGCCTCGTCTACCCTCAGCAAAGTGATTTGTGTGGGCCGAGTTTATCAGCGCCGGTGAGGCAAAGGGGAGTGGAACGGTGGTCGAGAAAGAACCAGACGTTCCATAGCAGTCGTCCATACTTCAAGCAAGTCAGCGGAGTCGCCGCGGATGAATTGCTACGTCCTCTTTTGACTTTTGACCTCGTGGTCAAATATATCTACATGCGAGTCGATGAGCTCACCATAGTACTCCTATAAAAATATAAAAATACAGGGATATATTATTAATAATTTAAGATCAATAAAATTAATTGGCCAATCGGATCATGATAAATTATATTAAAGTATGTAATTATAGTATTTCCTAATATGATGCATGTGATAAGCCTTTTAGAATCTCTAAAAATATATGTCATTTTGTTTTCTATAGACTTCAAAATAGCTGAGCATCTTGAACTACAACAAACCATTGTCTCTTCAAATGTTCCGGGATATATATATATATATATATATATATATATATATATATAGTAGAAAGTCATTGGCATTAGGTAGAATAGCGAAACAGGAGAAATAAGATGGTGTACGAGATGCGGATTATATATATATATATATAGTAGAAAGCCATTGACATTAGGTAGAATAGCGAAGTAGAAGAAATGAGATGGTGTATGAGATGAGGATTACTATCGATTCTATAGTTAGGTAGGTCATCCAGGAGGATAACAAAGCTGGAGAGGAGGATAACAATATAGGAGAAATAAGATGGTATAAGAGATAAGAGTCACCATTGATATCATCATTAGGTAAGTCACATAGGACGATAGCAAAACCGAAGGAGAAGACAAAGTTGAATGGAGGATAGCCAAACTTTTTACCCTTTTATGAAATTAATATTTTTAGATTATGAGAATTAAAAATACATTTTTATCTACTTTTTAGCACTATTTTTATACTTGACTATATATATTTCGGAGTCGATAGTACGAGAAAAAATAAGATTAAATATATTTTATAGTCGATAGTGTGAGAAAAAATAAGATTAAATACTTCACTTCGACTGATCATGACCCGTTCTCTAATAGACCGATTTTATCTTATTTGGTGCAGCTTATGAGGGGTAAGTTTTTAAGTTGATCATGTCTTGACTTCTAAAAAGTAAAATTCACTGATATTAGTTTTAATATACAGTCCAAATTGTACATTCATTTAAATTCAATATGTATTTAAATCAAACTCAAATATTTTTAAATAAAAATAGTGAAAAAATATGATTTATCACTTATATTAGTCTTAGTGATAACAATAATAATGATCGTCGATTAAAATATCATTTGTCACAATAATAAGTTGTCATCACAAAATCTAAAATATTTATGATAATATTATTATCAAATTCATACACTTAAATAATTAAGTGACTATGTTTTAGTGATAAATATTTGTTATTATTAAAAAAAATATAATGATAATATCCTCGATAAATCATATTTTGATGACAAGTTTTAATATTTACGACTAAAATTTTATGATTAATGAGGAGCTCTTTTTAGTGTGTCTTTACACTAACGTGATTTACACGATATTAGAGTTCCATATCTCATTTTGAAATATACTCGTCCTTCCTTAAGTTTAAAAGTATGATGAACTTTATTCTTTAATTTAAAGTTTAAAACTCGATTGTGATGGCCATTAAAGAAAGTAAGCAATAAACAAAAGTAAAATTCCACGGATGCAATCTCCACTTTATTACTTTCTATCGATTATTGCCTCAAGACAGCACGTAAAGAATCACAAGCCTTGCCACAATAATTTCTCACATAGGCTGATATGGATGACAACTTAAATAATAATAATAATTAAAATTTTGATTATTGTATATTATAACTATTGAAAGTGAGCATTCCTTCTATTGATTCTTAAAGTACGCTTAAGATTTATGTAATTCAAATCAACAATCAAAGATCAGATTAAGATTTCAAAACATAGTATTTTTGATTATTTTGATGATCCACAATAAAAGCAATTCAAAAATTGTTAAATATAGGACCATAAAAATCAACCCAATCGATGATCAAAAGAATTTAGTTTGAAAGAAATACTAAAGTAGATTGATTATTTTTTTTAAAGTTTTATTTTCCAAAAAGAAAAATACATATTTATTTGATAATATGGATGAATATGTTAAACAATTATATCTTTGTATTATAAAATATTTTTTTAAATACAAACAGTTATGTTAAAATAAATATTTATATAAAAAAATAAAATAGAGCTGAATGACGTGGATAATATATATAGTTTGGTCCCCCAATAATTTCCACCTATATCATATTACTAATTTATGAAAGGAAAAGAGATTAACCATAAGCTTTTAGGGTTTATAATTGATTTAGAGGGATAATTTTGTTTTTCCTAATTTTATAATAATTCAGCGATTAATAGCTGTATATATTTCTGACTCTACATCGAGGAGTCAAATGTGGGGTCCGCAACTTCAAAGAGTCAAATGTGGGGTCCATCCACTACGGCGGTAAACGTTCGGGTAGGTTGAACAGGGTAAAGAAAATAGTACTTTGTTTGTCAACGGCTGTGGTCTGCGTAATATATTTAATTCAAATAAAGCAATTAATATATTTAATTCCTCCCCTTCCCGCGCTCGTCGCAGTTGTCGTGTCATATATTTAATTCAAATAAAGCAAATGGGAAGACAAAATAAAAAGGGTAAGAATAAATAAACTATTATGAATTCGAAAAAGAAGGATGCCGAAGGCTCGGTCCGTCGACCCTTTTGCCAGAGTTATTCCTTCCTCTTCCTCTCGGCTTCGTGTGCTTCGCTTTCTTGGGGAAGACGGGACGCGAGTGCGTAAATAGTGGCATGGAGCGAGCGAAAGGTAGCGATGTCGAAATCGAAGGTGGGGATGGCGCCGGAGGACGAAGCGGAGGCGACGGCGAAGTCGTCACGGTGGGACTCGATCCAGAGGTGCGGGATCCCCAGAAAAATCAAGATCGACGAGGAGAAGCTGAGGCGGGACATCTTGATTCCTGAGTACCTCTGCAAGGCGATGGAAGACGCCATCGATAAAAGGGACGCCACCGTCGTGGGCCCCTCCTCAGGCGCAGAGCCCAGTGGCGGTTCGGAGGTGCCGAAGGCGCCGCTGGTGGTGTTCGTGGACTTCTGCAGTTGCGAACACCGCGGCCAGCAGATGATGCGCCAGCTTCAACAATTCATAAGCAAGGGACAGGTCAAGATAGAAACCGCCTCCCTCTCTCTCTCCTCCTGTACTTTCTACTGCATTTCTTCAAATATTTAGATTCTTGAAGTCTTATATCGAAGCCAGCTTAGTGTTTTTTCGGTTCACGTAGTGAGTTTCTGAAGTGACCTTTCGTTTTTTTAAATTCCTTCTGATGCACAATAAAATTCCTGATGTTAGTCTGTGGGTTGCGTTTCTTGATCGAGCTTTAAGCATTACTTTGAAGGTTTAAAAATCTTTCTTTTTTGGTGACAATTTTGGCTCGTCTTGCTTTTGTTGAACATTATATTTCGCAATGTTTGTATAGCAGCAAACTATCTGTGGTAGACGCACTTTGCATTTCTGGAGGTCGAAAACATAAATTATAATGGCTAAAAATGGGAAATTTAAATTCAGGTAAAGGCTGTTATACTCAAAGTTTGTTTGGTGCTTTCGTCACAGAAAAGATCTCGAAAGTTACGTGGTTGTTTTGATTTTTTGCTGCTTACATTCTTCAGGAGAATTTTGTCTCCTATCTAAGAGAAGGCATCTACTACCACCTAGATGATCAGCCTGTCTTATAAGATAGCTCCCTTTTCCTTTATTCTTCCTGCTTTGTATAAGATAGCTTTTTTCCTTGACTCATCCAGATCTCTATGTTCTGTTGAATATTCAGTATGATGTCCTTTCTTGACCTGTCAATTTCGAGAAAAAAAGAAGGAAAAAACGAACTATGAAATTAGATTTGTGAACTTGTGATGCTAATTGTGATGACTTTAAGAGTATTATGTTATTCTTTTGTTTAATCTGGTATTTAGAGATCTAAGATAGTTTGTGATTTGTGATTTGACTAGCAATAAGGTTCTTTGCTTGTAATTTGTGGTTCTTTGTTTAATATCATCCAAGTCAAGGAAAACGGACCTTCCAATAGGTTCCTACTAGGATATTGCTTTACTGCTGTGCTTTGCTGGAAGGAGGTTTGTGCCAGTTTATAATAGACCATGAAAAATCTGTAGTTGACATGAGTGCATGAAATATATTCTGATTCTCATTTGTTCTAGTGGTGGAAGTTGGATGACACTATTGTTGCAGTATGCAGCACAGGGTGGTTTATTCCAGAGTAGGTTTTGGAAAATTGTTCCAGTCAATTCAGGATTAATTCGGAGTATCTAATCAGGATCTTTCTTGATAGTTACATATTTTTCGTGAACTTCCTGTAGTTATAGGAAAATTTTTATCTGGAAATGGACCTTAGCTAATTGAATTACGTTGGCTCTAATTCTTTCTCTCATTTATTTCAGGTCTTTGATCTTTTAGCTACAAAGCCTTCTCACTTTGTTCAGCATGGTTTGACTTGCTTAGAAAACTTGGCTAGCCAAGGTGACAAGTGTGCAGAGGCCATTCGTCAAAACTTAAAAAT